ACATCTACAGTAGAACAACTCGGGATCACTGCTCGTATACTATGCGGAACAAAACTTCTGCACCAGGGCACATAGTTGCTGGGGTTCCCCAATAGGGTGAGGGGGTTTATTTGACCGCTGGGAGCGGGGTTGCGTGTTGTTAGATTTCGTTGGTTTGATAATTGATCTCTCTTGTTTCAGGACCTTGTAAAGGGGGGGGGCGTAGTTGCTCGCTAATGGGAGGGGAGGTGTATTTTCAGCTCCTGAGAGAGGCTGCTAACGACTCTTCATGGCTCTTCCTGTTCCATGTGTACTATATACCGCCTCCGCTCTACAGCAAAACCTCTGGGTAAAAGCAGGAAGATTTTTGGGAAATTGCGGAAAGAGTGGTAAGAAGTTGGGGAAAACCTAAGAAGTGGTAGAGGGAGGGGTCGTATTCCCCCTCCCACTCGACAGCTCGATGAGGAGGGAATCAGGGCGGTCGTACCAACCCCCGTAAAAAGGGGGGGGTCGTACGGACTCAACCAAAATCCCCAACTAATGATGTGCGCTGTTCTGCATTGAGTTGGCGTGCGGATTATCGATGTCATCTTCTCTCAGGCCAAAGAACCTTTTGCATTTTGCAAATGCACATGCAAAGACCGCAAATCCCACTTTTCCTGCGCGCTCCTCGCAACGTCGAAAAAAGAAGAGTCGAGTAATCTACCCAGAAGAGAGAGAATAGAATGCCCTTTCTGAAGTTCGCCATTGGTAGAACACATGAACTCAAGAAAATGAGAAGCCGAGGAAAGCGTAAGTTAGGTATGAAGCGGAGCCAATCCACAGGACAGTCCTTCCTCCCAACCTGAGACAATTGCGCTGCCCACTTCACTTACAATGTGGACGTCTTGGTGTGTAAAGACACCTTCTGCAATTACAAATCGTACCCGTTGAGGACCTCATCTGAACTTTAGTTGATGGTTATCCTCCAAAGGATGGAAAACAGACATTTCAAACGCCCCATGCTCTGATTGCCACAACTTGTGTCCTTTCATGAGAACTTAACGTATCGTTTTACGTGTCCCAAAAGTTCGTGACCATTTTTTGAATTCCTATCAGATCTTTCCGCAGCCATTTCGAGATCCAGTTATGTGGTCTATGGGAAGTGTGTTAAGTAAGCATCCCACAGCTTCTTTACCGTCCCTCGCAGTCGCTGTTCTCATATCCAAAACGGTAATTGAAATTCATCATTTTCGACACACTTCGCTATATGAATCTCCACCAAGCCACAACGTGGTTGGAGCCAGCGGCATTTCTCTGATTAGGTCCTGATGGTACCTTCCACAGTACGGCGTTGAAATGGCCCGATCGCTTCCGCTTGAGTGACTTCTATCTGGGAGAAAAACTTCGTCCAGGAGGCCACCTGCCTTGGATTTGGACCTACTGTGTTCCTTGATTAAAACCAATTCGTACAAATCAACTCGCTATCCATTCCTTACATGACTGGTCCAAAAGCACAAATGATAGAGGGCCTCGCTCCCTCAAAAAAACTATTGAAGTTCGGTCAAAATTTCTCGCATGAGTTGACCGTTAGCGAGAGGAAGGCATGTGGGTACTGTCTACAACTTCTCTTCCGCTTCCGCCATTTGGACTGGTTGAACAGCGTTGTAACTGGATATGGAGGAGGTGTCTCTAGGTGAATCACTCCCGGAAGCGCCAGCGGCTAGATCTTCCAGAAAGGAGCAGAACCTGATCGACAATCCTATCAATCCAGTCGGGGCGGTGAGACTGTGTACACTACTTATCCACAGGGCATAGTATGGGGTATTCGTGGGGACATTACTATTTGACACAACTGTTATCTTGTGTGCTGGACGAAGGCAGGATCACAACCGTTCCAAAATGAAATAATCTACGAAAATCTTGGCCGCCGCTAGGTTTAACTCAAGTACACGGCTACCGCGTTTTAGTTATGTGGAGTGTATGCGGTGGGGTTTCTTTCTCTCTTCCTTTGAGGTAATTTCTTCCTCTCAGCCCTGTGGTAACCAGCGAATCCTATTGTAATCAACTGCAAAAGGGGGATGAAAATCCCTACCATTTGGTCCCACAACCGAGCAATGTTTGCCTACTCCACCACAGCTCAGGGTCACACATTTCGAAAATGACACTGCTCGAGATCCTGAAGCTTAGCTGGGGAATTCCACCACAGTCTTCGTGTAGCCCTGACTTAGCTCTTTCCGATCGCCATCTAAACTAATCCCACAGCGGCCATCTTCTGGGTAAAAAAATACGATTTTTGAAAGTACCTCAAAAATGACCCAGCTGCCTTTCTCGGCACGGAACCAAAAAGCTTCTGGAAGCAAGGCAACCACTCTTTGCCTGGTGGTTGGCAACAAGTTGCCGATGAAGGTAACATATATATTGTTGATCAAAATTGCTTCTCACTGGAATAAACTTAACTCAAGAAAAAGTTCGAAAGTGTCTTGAACTTTGGGACAACCTAATACAACCAATAAATATCATTGGTGTGCGCTTTTCCATTATACACCCTACGTGTGACCTCGCCTGAACTGAGAACGACCAAGGTTGCGAGTATTCGAAGAAGCGAGACAATAGTGTCCGAGAGAAGAAAAATGATGAATGAGAGAATGGGAGGACAAATTGAAAGTGTACAGATTGCGCCGTATTTGAGCCGATGAGACAGAAAACCTAGCCTGTATATCAAGTCCTTAGACGGGCGAGGCGGGCGATAGCAGCACCCTCGCCACTCTCTGCCGTAAAAGCAGGATTGGGGTTTTTCGAGACTGCGCTTCAGACCACTGCACACAAAAGACCCTCTTCTCCACCGGATAACCACGGAGTCTCCGAGAAGTGTCTTTAATTCACTGCTTCTATCTTCTCGACACATACCACTGAGATTTTCTGCTTTTTGCGTTACTTTTGATGCGCAAACCTACGACCACAAAAACTTACGATGCTGCAGTTAGAAAAAGGAAAGCGAATGCATCAAAAAAGCACCTCAGGACAAATGGTCCGTTCTCCCCTTTCTCGAACGAATTTCGCTAGCCAGGGATTCTTTTTCCATTCTTAAGAGCTCACGGTACAAAGAATTTCTGAAGAACATCGTTTGTTCCTCCGTGCAGACTGCCAATAAACATCATGAAAAAAGCCCCGTTGCGTGAACTTCCCATCCGATCTACGCATGCATGATCTGACTTCATTCGATTTTAAAGACGGTCTCCGAACTCAACCAATTCGCAGGCGTCCTTCCTTGTATAATCAGTCCGGGCCGCTGTCTCTGAGACTCACTTTCGCTGCTGCATAGTGAATCACGAAGATGCTGCGGCTCTCATGAGTGGCAGTCCTGACGCCTCCCTAGTTTCTCCGCCCACCAAAGCTTTAACAAAGGAGGTCTTTCAGATCGTAGCACGCTTTCTGGAAGGGCTCGTAGAGGTACATACAAGAATCACAAAAATGGGTTTCATTTTTGCTATGCGTTTCTGGGGAGGTCAAAAACTGAGTGAAAAGAATTTGACAAGAATGGGCGATTTTAACTACTATCTTAATGGGCTCCGTTCTGATTGTAACTTCGAGCATGCATAGTTTATGAGGTGCTCGTTAATTAGGCTTCGAAAATAGTTTTAAATAAAGTATCGTATCGTCGTCCCATCCAGAATCCATCGAGTTATCCGCTGCGCCATCCGATCCGCCGACAGTGAGCATGAGGGGACCGCTGACAAAAACATCACTGTTGCGTCGGTGCATGCCAAGTGTGTTACTACATGATACTTACATTTTGACTTTATTTGAAACCATTTTTGAAGATTCATTAATGAGCACCTCATAAACTATGCATGCTCGGTTACAATCAGAACGGAGCCCATTAAGATAGTTAAAATCGCCCATTCTTGTCAAATTCTTTTCACTCAGTTTTTGACCTCCCCAGAAACGCATAGCAAAAATGAAACCCATTTTTAAGATCCTTGTATGGACCCCTACAACAAGCAACAAACCATTTTTAAAAAGCGCGCCACGACCGAAAAAACCTCCCTTGTAAGGCCGGTTCCTCTCCAGAGTTCAGTTTTCACTTCGTATTTCTGGTTTTTTTTACTGTTATGGTAGTAGCAGCGGATAGCGCGAACAAACGATTTGGGAGCCAGGCAGGCGCAGAACTCATACAATAAGCTTCCAGGGATCCTTATTAGGGTGTTCTCCACGCATTTTTCTTTTCCACTAAGAGTCACTTGGCTATTACGGGTTTGTAGCTGACTGCCACTATCCATAATAAGCAATCGCAGGTCTCATCTATGAGTCTCATCCTAAAAGAATACATTGGCTCAAAAATGTCTTTCAGCTGGGACTCGAAGCCGCCAACTTTCCATCGGTCACATTCTGCAATACCAATCCCTACAAAAAGAGCAAAATTGAAACAGTGCAAGCCCTGAAAGCCCTTGTAAGTTTTTCCCTTTCTCACCTATTCGCCATTTCCTACAACATGAAATATCTCGTGAATTGATACAGCTGACTGTCTACGAATCTTCGGTGGATGGATCACTCACGTAGCCTTGCGGATAGCGAAGAACATCATCCAATATGAATTGTGAACGCAATAAACATTATTTACAATCAAAAACTCGAAGGCACCAAGCTTTATGATTATAGCTTATCTGTTTCAAAATCTCAAGTTGGAAATGTTGCAAAGACTAGGCCGTGAAGCAGCAAGCAGGCAAGCATCACAACCATAGAAAGGTTAGGACAGAGATTTCAAAGTTCTTTCAAGTAATTACTTATTACGTAAATATCATTAGAGCTTCAAGTTAACCGACTCTGTCAAGGCACTGCGTCTAAAATACTAGAATAGTACGAATGTTTTTGGGCATAAAATAAAAACAAACGTAATGTTGCACATGAAAATTGACGTAAACTATGGGTCATTACGAATCAACGATATCAATTGGCGAAGCATCTAGGAAAATTTGGTAACCGTCAACAAGTATGCACGTTGCATGTATGCAACGATAGAGCAACGATAGCAAAGCAGGTCACTCGAGTTTTCTTGTGAAGTTTTCTGGGAACACTCCACGAGTACCGTCTGATTTCTCACCCAACTGCCATCCTTCATCGACCTGATCTTCCGGTTTTGACTCCAAAACCTGAAATTTCAGACATTTTTACTTCAAATCAGACCCTTCAAACCGAATCGGATACATCCAAATGGACCACTCTGGGTACTGCCACAAGCCCTGCCCCAACAACCCCGCCCACTTCTTAGCGGGGTCACGCTTATCCAAAATTTTTTGGGAATTCCACTCCTTTTCCTTTTGTGCACCCTTGCTACTTGGCACACAATTCAACCAAAAGGATTACTACCGATACAGCCCACTTTTTTAATGAAGTTAGTTCAAGTTCTGAATTATTAAAACTTTTTTCGTCGTCGTTGTTTTCAAATTCATTCCTCACGAAACAAATATACTCATGGCTTCCATTTACACGCTGGCACACTCAGTTCCAGCCCTCTAACCAGCACACTTTCGCTCTTTCTGTGAAATTTTGATCTTTTCTTCCGAATTTTGATCTTGGTAGGCTGTAGCAAGTAGCCCCGCCCACCATTAAAAGTCCCGCCCACTCCTCAAAATAATCTACATGGGAGGCTAGAGTCAGTACTGGCAGGTTATGACTTCAGAACGCCACTGTGAACGAAAAATCAAGGAAACTTTGGTCCGAGTGATGACCGAATGTGTAAAGAACGACGTCGAAAAAAAGTAAGAATACAAAACTTCATTTCTTTTATTGAAAAAGCGGGCAGAGTCGCATCTGTGTCGGTACTAATCCTTTTTAGTTAACGAGCGTGTACTATACGGCAAAAGTGCAAAAAAAAGTTTAAAAAGTTTAAAAACGGTGGTGGTAAGTGGGCCGGGACATTGGGAGGGGCTTGCAGCAGTATCTAGAGTGGTCCACTTAACAACCTTGAGGGTTGCGTAAAAGTTGTAAAAGTTTGAAAAGTGTCGGCTTGGTTTGAAAAGTGCCCGATTTGGCTTGAAAAGCGTCCGATCAAAAATGAAAACGGTTAGTGCCATCCCTCTGGGAAAGTACGCATATTACTACGCTACAAAATGCATACATCAGTTTTCTCTTGCCAAAACAATAGGGGATAGGCGGAACATAGGTCCCTTGCTTTATTATCTATGATATTCGGTAGCAACAAAAGGCGGCCTTTCAGCTTCAAGTAGCAATGGAATTTCTATGGCACATTTCACATGACTTTGGTATGGGTCATCGGGCTCAAAAATGGAGAGAGATGTCGATTAGCTAGCACACAAATGATATACCCTAGGAAATTGCTCGAAGTGTTCGAAATGGTACTAATTTCCCAAAACTAGCTTTAGAAGCAGAACTACGTGAAGGTAGTGAGCGTGTGGTGAGTTCTAGACATCATTGTGCAAGTCCGAAAGACAGGTGAAGGGAGGTGGGTGCATTCAAACGAATCCCTGTGCAAAATTGGGATTCTGTAAAGAAGAAAAGCATCACTGCCTGAGCCGTGAACAAGGAATTCAGGGGGTAGGTGAACACGATTCTAGGTCAAAGGAGGGTTTTGAATCATGTTCGTTCCAATTTTGTATAGAAGCTCCTTCAGATGCGGAACTGCTCTGGCAACAAGCGTTCATTCTACTATTTCATTTAACTACCTGTGATGATGTCATTTTTGCATATAAGTCACTTCAACTATTGGAGTCTGTACTGCTTCTTCCCTTGCTACTTAGAGGGAGACAGCTCGAAGACCCGTGGAAGGAGGAAGGGGTTACCGGGCCCATGCCATAACCCTCTACCTCCCTTGGTCATGCACAGTCAAGCGAAGAAATCGGCACTAGGGTACTTCTAGTGGCAGCAGGGGCTATTCCATCTACCTAATTGTGAATTATTTCGACGAATACGATCAACTGTTTTAGCCTACCTTTAATGTTTCGCCAGGAGAAAAGGATAACTCGTCTGTGTCCACGGCCTTGTATTCATGAGTAGCTTTCACAAGATAGAGCACCTACAACAAAAGCGCATTGACTACTAGCAAAATTAATCTGCACCCTAAGATGCATTCTTCTTTTCTGACACGTGGGGACATTTCCAAGTACGTGACTGACGGGAGTGACCCTCCATAGCCCGGATATGAGAGGTTATGTGGCTTCGTATTTCATTTGACCACAACTGTCCCAGAACGGCAATACCCACAGAAACGCAAAACCGCCCCTATGGTTTAGATGAAATACTTAAGCCAAGTTTCCATCTCCGGGATATAGAGTATATTCACTCAATAAGTTCAGTATGGTTGTCCATACTCGAAGGATAGATCTCTATCCTACTACAAGCAGATGATACTTGAAAACTAAGTAGAAGAGAAGAAGAAGCAGCATCACACCACCTTACGTGCCTCCTTAGTCACTCCTTCTAATGCATGCTCTGTAGGCGGAGCCTCTTCGGGCACTGTTGGGTGCTCCTCATCCGTATCTTCCTCGAATGGATTTTTCGTATCTTTCTCTTTTCTCAGTGTCTCCTTTTCGATTTTGCCATTATCCTTTTCGGATCTTTCAGCTCGAGGAGGTGCAGCAGCCAGTTTCTGAAAAACGTTATATGCATCAAAACATGTGAATTTTTCATAAGTTCCACAACGGCTACACCCAAAATGCCTATGGTGATGGGCTGTGGATATTTATAGTAAAGTAAATAGCTATATGAAAGTGATTTTCCCATTAACCGATGTACGAAGTCACAAATGTAAGTCAATATGAGTGAAGCACACGTGAGTGTTAGCCATTCTTCTAACAGGCAGAGGATCGCAAAATCGTCCCTCTCTAAGGAAGTATTAAGACATTCCCTTCGAAAACGTGGAATGTTTTGCTCAAATGACAAATGAAACGAAGATGAAAACAAATAAAAAAGTAATATTTTGGTTCCGACTAGAGGCGTGCTACGCGTTCACTGGGTGTACAGACCCCATAATAGACAAGGTAGATATTTCCGCAATCAGAGGACGAGATGAATACGCTGCCTGCTCATAACGAGGTCGCAGTGCCGCCCACTGGCCACGGCAACACCCAACTTTCATTTCTAAAAGCTGAAGGTGTTTGTTTTCGTCGTTCTGTTATAAATTCCTTCTCATTTCCATCCCTCCCAGAAAAGCCTGGGTGCCAACGAAAACCCCAAGGAAGACGTAAGACTTGCTTGGTTCAATTCGGATTGCGATTCTCGCCTCGGGCAAACGGCCTGCCGAGTCACTACCCTATCCGTGGATGTGCCTAATCGTAAATGAGAGGACATAAACACACCACGCATGAAATTAAACTGTAATTATAGCTTGACAGATAAAGAGAGGTCCCGTCAAGTCACTGTTAGTGTCGTTGGATTACTTGACTGAGAGGGCAGGATGGTTGTGAAGAATTATGGAAGGTACTAAGAGTGTGTGGTAGGCAGCCGGCGAAGGGCAAATGAGATTACCAAAACTGATCTAGGAGCACCACCTCCATGATGGGGAAGAAAGGATTACTTCTTTCACGAACAACTAGAACGTTACACTACAAGAAGCTCAAAACGAACCGGATATATCTTGTTCTCAAACGTTTCCTCTACGTTATCTTCATCAAACGGATTGCTAGCAGGTGCTACTTGACCAGAAGCTGAATCAGCTAACGACGCTGGAGTTGCTGGTGGAGGAGCTGGAGCAGGAGATGGAGTAGATCTATGAGAACCCATCTGAAAAGGGGAGCTCATTGGAATAAACGCGACTACCTCATAATGTTGACAAGAGTTCAATAAAAAAACTGCAATTATCTGAATAACGTACATCTGTTACGCTATCAGTAGGAGTGGAGGGTCGCGGCTCTGGTCGTGGAACTCGAAGGGAATCCATGGATTCACCAAGGCGGTCCAATTGGGTAACAATTTGTTTGTTAAGCTGTAAATAAAGACTCAATAGCATCCATGTCCCGTTCCAATTCATAAAAAGCCACAAAAACAGGATCGCTCACCTTACAACATTCTGCTTGATATATGCTTTGTGAATTGAATAAAGATTGCAACGTGTCAACATAAAATGTGATACGACTATCATATGTCGCTGGGAGTATCTGGAAACAAGAAAGCAAACACTTCTTTGCGGTTCGCTGAAAACCAGTAGCTGTTTCTTCTTCAAGGGTATCCCCTGTGGGATAGGGCAAAGCATTCTAAAGCCATTCAGGGCAAAGTAAAAACGTAAAGCAAAAGAAATTGTGATGGAAATTGCGTATGGCATAAAGAAAAACAAGGAATCGCCATTGGTGAGGGTTTCGAGACCACCAGCTGCGTTACCTTCGTAGAAGCACAAATGGATAAAATTTTCGCCGTTAATCAATTTCTGTTTGGGACGCACGCATTCTACTTCTATTCAGAATGCTAGAGGTTTACTGCATGCGATGTGGCCTTTACAATGACTTGTGGGGCTAGCCGTGTTCAGTCAGTTCGTATTCTCGTATCGTACTCCCAGCATCTGGTCCCAACTTACCGTCCCCGGAGGATAGACGGCTTGGTGGCTAATGCCGTTTGGACGCACGCAATTTCGGCACTGAGCAAATTTTTGAAGTGCTCAGTGCCAAAATCATCAAATCCGCTGAAAACTTGTATACAAAGGTTTAACATCCTGATTACGAATATGACACTCATTCTTGGCACTGGCGCTAAGAGAAGACACTACAAATACCCCTTGGGCTCATCCTTAGCAGAGCGCAGATAATCGCAGTGTTTCCATTAGCACCAGCGCCAAGAATGAATGTCACATTCGTGATTAAGCCAAATTACCTGTATATACAAGTTTTTAGCGGATTTGGTTATTTACGCCTTTGAAAAATGAGCTCGGTGCCAAAATTGCGTGCGTCCAAACTGTATTAGCCAGGCTCGGTCCGCCTGGGCGGGAGCCAATGAGAGATCTGACCCCTGGACCGCGCAAGTGATAAGCGTGCCACTTTCCACTACATCATCGCCTCCTTACACTGCCATAACTCCGCCAATTTCGAGATATTCTTTTATATGCTCCCTTCTTGTATTTGTTCATTTGTCCAGCTTTCTTCAAGAGTTCAATGTGTCAAGCTCATTATTCAAACTGAAAAAGGAGGGTGATTTAGTGGCAAGGAGCTCTTAACTACGATCAGGTCCCGGACCGTCTCGCCCAGGCTAAGCAGCCCTTTTACCATCCAAGGACGACTAGTCGGCGCCTGTTTTGTCTAGGAGGAAATATTGGCATTGGCCGGCCCCTGCAAATTCGTGTATAGGCCCATCGATCCCAGTAAGACAGTACGATTCTGAATGGAAGTAGAATATGTAACGTATCTCAAAAGTGACTGACCAACGACGAAAGATTTATCCTTTTGTTATTCAACTAAACCACAAATAAGCCTACAAATAAGGAACAAACGCCTCGTCACTTATCTTGGAATTTTATGGAGAATCAACAGACATACCTCTAACAACTCGTTATTTATCTCTTTATAAAGGGTCTCTGCTTGTTGTAGCTCAGTGTAAGCTTTGGCCACTTTTGGATCTGTTTCACCCTGGAATCGATGCGTCTGTGTTGAAGGCCATATTCATAAGTATCTTACGGCAAAACGCTCCAATGCAATCCTCACCTTTTTACTTGAAGCTTTGGCAGAACTGTAGTTGTGCTTTGCATGGTCATAGTCAACAAGCTTCCTTCCTCTCTTGTCAACCTAAATAAGCCATTGAAACGCCATTTTTTAGTGAAGACAGAATCCGTACAATATCAGTGAATGGGAAATTATATAGAAAAAAATACACGCTAGTGTGGGCCGATCCGCAGATCGTAGTTGGAACCGTCGGACTCTTCCCTGAACAACTTTTCAACGTGCTTTCCTTCAAACCTCTAGCATTGAGGCGCACTCTTCGTAAAAGCGGTGGAGGATCGTTTGACCCTTCAAACCTCTAGCATTGAGGCGCACTCTTCGTAAAAGCGGTGGAGGATCGTTTGACTAGATAGGCAGACGCAAAGGCAATCTAACTGACCGAAAAGATAACCTTTGAAGACTTTATGCGTAGGGATGCTGCTCCCGGTCAATACATATTTCTAGAGAGAACGCTAGCACTGATGTATAGTTGACCAATACCTTCTACAAATAGAATTTTAAATTCGCTCCACCGCAGAATTATGAAATTAGGGTAACCAGTCAGCCATATGACAGTGACACAGCTCCATTCTTGAATCACTTGATATATCCGGATGTGGAAAACATCAATACGATGAACGACTTAGCACCAGAGCCGAACAGGAGGAAGCGAGCGCCTTGGGAAGCTTTCATGAACACTGAGGAAGTGGCGAAGAAGACGAAGCGACTCCGTGTCCAACTCTTCAATTCACCGGCCCTATTTTAAGTTACGTCGAAATTCAACGAAAATTCAAGAAATTCAACGCGCCATCGAAAGAGCTACACTTAAAGGTTCCTGCTACACGCAATTGAGGCAGGAAGTCCGGAGCTCCGTATTACGTCGACGATCGAAGATGAGATGCTCTCGCATACCAAGGTTTCGAAGATCAGGTGGGCCGCGCACGTCATGCTCTTTGAAGATGACCGCTGGACTGAAGCAAATAGCGACAGGATGCCTCTGGATGTCAAACGAGCACATTTATGACCGCCCATGCGATGGTCACACTTCTTCCTGATGCTCCGATCTAATTCAGGTCCCTCAAGACAGAGAAACCAACAGGCAACTCTACCACGTTGCAGGGATGGACGTAGCATTACTAGCGCCCGCTCAAACGACTCGATGATCAACGGGAGCACAAGTGATGCATATGACTGGGGGTCTTGTATAGAAATTGGGAAATACGTGTTACCTCATACAACAAAATATATACGAATCAATAGCGTCAAACGTCCCTGAAAGTTGGTGCAGAGATACCAACGCAGACGTTTTCAATGGAAAAAAAAGTTCAAATTCATTATATCAGGCTAAGCAATGGGACCGAGTCTAGAAGGGTCCTTCGCTCACTTTTTTCGTGACAGCCAGACGGATCCCACATGATTCCACTTTGACAATAAAAGGATCTATAGAACAAAAGGAAAAGTGTATGTCGTGCATGAAAAGTTGCACTGCCAGTAAATGCTTGATCCCATGTTAGTTTCAAAGATTTGGGTAGATTTCACTTTGTTATTGTGTTGTTGTTCGTTTTTCACCGTATCTCACACCAAATGAAGGATGCTGTAAATTTTGACCTCGATGCTATCCACCCTAAAGACAGCCCCCGCGCTCAAGTAGTACATGGTCGTCCTTCCTTGTGCAGGTAGTTCAGCCCCAAGCTAGATACTGTCCCACTCTCGCGACTCCACAGTGAGCGAGGAGCGAGCTACAGCCGCTCAAAGTTCTAGTTCTAACGCCCGCCCAGTTGGACCGCCCACTTGCTAGATGCCCTCTGACGGAGAGCCGCTCAGTTGTTCTTGTTTGTTGGGGCGGGCATTAATCGGTACTGCATGTACTTTTTGCTGACCGCGCTCGTGCCCATAAATAATTCTGCTCTCCTTTATTACATTTTATTCATTGGGAGCACATACAGTCAACTGCAACCCATCTCGCAAGGTAAAACGCGTAAAAATCACGAGTGATGCAATTTTTGTGGTGCAAAAGCTCGACATGCACTAAAAGCTGCACACTGCACGTAACCCCAAATTCGGACGCCAAGTTTTTGAATTTTTCTTTTTTAAGTGTTTTTCGTTCGTGTCTTTGTTGTTTTTCGTATTCTTTTCTTTGAATTGGATGTTGTCCACTACTGGGAAATGCCATAAAGCGATTTGTGAGCCAGGGGTTGCCCACGGACCGCAGGGCGGTGTAACTGTAAGGGAGCAATTTTGTTTGTGGTGTTCTTGAGGGCTCTTGTTGCTTTTTTCCTTCATTGAGGAATTACTTATCAGCTACTGTTTCATAATTGATCAGCAATTATCCTTGACACTTTTATCGCGGGAGCTGTCTTTAACAGCATGTGGTACTAACGCAGAATCAACATTAGCAGATTGCTAGCTGATCGCCAATAACTGCGTCACTGCGCTTCAAGCACAAAAGCGGTGGTCATCAGGCAATGATATATAGACACGGTATACAAGAAGCTACCTTTTTCTTCAATTCGGGGAACTGTGAAACGTAGTTGGAAACGGCTAGCGGGAGGTCTTCACATAGCACCTTCTCCATTTCATTTGACTGGATTTCGAGGTTCTATAAATGTAGGAAAATGCTTGAACTAAATGAACGATGACAAAAAAGCTATAAAAAAACATACATCAATGATAGCAGTCAACTGCTCCCGTTCTGGCCATTCCGCTTCATAGGCTTCCCTGATGGTGTCGTGTAGAGCTTTCTCAGCTTGACAAAGCGTTTTCATGGCAGTGGAATATGCCTGCAAAACAGAGGACAGTTATGAATCCATGAATCATCAAGTAATTAATGTTCCTTAGCAATTCCCATGAGCAAATATCTTTGCTCATGGGAATTGCTAAGGAACATTAATTACTTGA